CAAAATTCCAAATTTAGCCAAGATTGAGAGCCGTGGCCTGTGGCTGCTGCATACATTCTTCAAGGAAACAGGACAGATTCTATTAATCAAGGCAAGTATGACTTCCTATGCATACATACAGAGAGTTCTGACATCTTGACATCACATTACAACTCTGGAATCTCTACAAAACAATTATAAGATCAATGAATTCATATCATCCTGTTAACTCTACTTTTATTTAATGTAAAGACTATATTTAAGTGAAGACATACTTAACCAAAATGTTGAGTAAATGATAATCACTTTAATATTAAAGGGAGAGAAATCCATAAATATGTTGTAAGATTATTCTTGTTATTAAAACTAGCAATTTCCAATTATAAAAACAGAAAAACAAAGAAATAAGATTTCATAGCATTCCATCCCAGAGATGATCACTACCAACAGCCAGTTCTCTACCTCCAGATTTCATGTTAATATGCAAACAACACCAACAAAATACAATTTGTTCCGGCAAGATTACTGTATACAACTTTTAAAGGTATACCTCCTCTTTAAACAGATTTTAAAAGTGTGTGCTCTTCACCTACGGCTGTGTTGCTATTTGGTTATGTAATTCTTTGTTATAAATAAGAAGCTTTTATTTTTTAAATCCTTATGTTAATGTCTTCCCACTTTGTTTCATATTCTCATAAATAGTTCCACAATATTAAAATTATATGTAACTATGTTTCTTTCACATATATTTATGATTTTACTTTATTTAAATCTTTTGTCCACCTAATCTAGTGAAATTTATAAGATAGTCTGGATTTACACTTTTCCAAGTGACATACTATGTTTCTAATACCACTGTTTAATAAGCTACCATTTCCCATTAACTCACAATGCAGCTTTATATAAACTAATAGATATATAACTTGATAATAAAACAACAATAGAAATATAAATAGATACTAAATAGTTAATTAATTGGCTGATAAAAAGAAGATAGATAAATGATAGATGATACATAGATAGCTGATACATGCACACATTCATACATACATACATAAAACATACATAGTTCCACTCCAACAACACATGTCTTCCTATACCTCAAGCATATTATAGTAATTTCTGAGTGTCATAATTCTGCTTTTTACACACTACACACTCATCCCTCTCTAAACAGCTCCTCCAATTTTATTCTCATTATTCCTTTCTGTGTTAAGTATTGGCTCCTCTAGGAACTTGAAACCCCTCTCTACTCTATGGTAGCCACTCTTCATCTGGCTACCTGTCTGCAAGCTCTGTAGATAACTTATTATATACATCTCCTTGAAACTAAAACTCCTTTAGTTGCTGTTCCTTAATTCATTACAGTACCTGTTGTATTACATGCATGAATAAATCAAAAGCGACATAAAGTAGAGTTCATTTTCTCTCAATTTGTATGAGAGGAGTCAACAGATCATAACCTCACCTAGATGATCTTAGAGGGCTGCAGACATAATCTCACCAAATGACTTAGTGGGCTGCAGGCAGCCTTTTATAAACTAGACAATCAAATGACAACAAAAACAAGCCAAGGAAAAGGTAAGACAGAGAATAAGGAAGCCCCCAATGTGCATATTAATAGTAAGAGAAAACTAGCTTTTAATCAGCTAAAGAACTGTTGAAAATTTCTAGAATCACCATGGAACTTTCTAGGACTGACACTTCTGCAGAGAGGAGACACATTTACCCACTGACTCTACTCTAGGAGTTAGTCATGGGCATATTAACTTACTGTACACTTTCAGCTTCTTGTCAAGGAAGAAGGGAACCAGAAGAGACCAAGCAGAGGACAGACTATGGGTGGGAAGCAACCATCATGTAGGTGTGCTCAGGAGATGCTCAAGAACACAGGTGTTATCTTCTGCTGAGATAACTAGCTAATCATGGATAAAGTAATCTTTCATTTGATCTATCTGAGTGTACTTTATGGGACAATGAGCTGTTTCCTAGTAATGAGATAGTGTCACTGTGGACCCAAACACTCTACAAAGAAAAGTTGTGTGCTTTTCCTGTCCTATGTGTTTATTCAGTGATAAATGTTTCCCAGAATACAACATACACATGTACAGACACTTGAGATTACAAAATGAGTGTTGATTATTATGCCTCTGTCATCATCTTTGCACAGCTTGAGAGCCAAAAATACCTGTGCTCACCATATCAGCAGAAATTTAAGCTCACTTGGGGCCTCGTTAATTTTTTTTAAAGTGAGTAAAAATTAATCTTCAAAAATAATCTTTGCTCAGTACTTAGTGTGTTCAGAAGTCCCTACTAATCTCTATGTGAGGGGTGTAAGATACAATCTAAGGAAACTTACTGTTATTGCTTAATGAACAGAAATACAGTTTGTAAATATTCCTATGAACCTGTTAAAAGAATGCGGAGATGTTATTTATATGGATTCAAATTGTTTATTGTCTTTTTCTTTAAATACTTGTTTATCTGTTGTGGCATGCCTACACCCCAGAGTATATGAGGGGGTGAGAGAGTAATTTACAGGACCTAGTGTTCTCTGTCTACTATATGGGTCCAGAGGATTGAGTTCAGATCATCAGGCTTGATAGCAAATACCATCATCAACTAAGCCATCTTGTCAGCTCAAAATGATGTTATTTTGAAAAAGAAATAATAACTCGAAAGGAGTCTTGATATACACACTGATTACCATGAATGTGTTGATATTGAAAGATGTTCAAAGATCAAAAGAGAAAATATTCATGAGGTGATGGAAATGTATAAATCAGAAGTCCACAGAAGACATTATTAGGCTGATAACATGTTCAAAACGCCATCCTTTCAGCACATTTTTACCCCTGGAATGTCTCCATCTCTTCTTTAATGAATCCCACTTGCCTTTTAATGTTAGGCAAATTCTCTCCAATTTAATGTCAGCCAAAGTATAGGAAAAAATGAAATTTTCTGTAAATGACAGAAGTCTAACAAAAACTAATTGACATTATATACAACTTATTGTCTTATAATTCTAGTGATCACAAGCCAAACACAATTCCCACTGGGGGGGAAAAAATGAAGATGCATCTCCAGGGCACTAGAATTCTTTAGCTCACAGCCTTTATCTTTCCAAACACAGGCCTTCTGTTTGACCTCTCCTTCATCGTTCATTTTCTCTACCTTAACCCCACTTCTTCCATCTTATAGGGTCCTATGATTTCCTTGAACCTGCTGGGAATCTACAGCAAAATCTCTCTATGTCAAATCTCCTAGCTTAATCAAGTATATAAAGACTCTTGCCATGGAAGGAGACACATCCACAAGATCCAGAGATTAAAAGTGCAATGTGGTGGCATATTCCAAGAACTTGAGGGGTGGAGACAGGGAGATCATAAATTAAAGGCAATTCTTACCTGCACAGCAAATTCAAGGGAACATAAGTCCCCAATACAGAGAGAGAGGGAAAAAGAGGAAAAAAAAGACATATCCAGGGATCAGATTGCCAACCTTAGAGTGCCAGTTTTCAGGCAACTATGAATACTTAAACAATTTTTCTCCTGCCTCTTGGTTTAGAATTGTCTAAATCACACAATTCTAAGTATGAGATAATTACCATGAGAAATGCTTTAAAATTTGAAATCTTTCTACTCTTAGTGTTATTTTCCTTAGTGACAGACTTATGTATTTTACTGATGCACAGTCAAGCCAGAATGTGGACATGTCATTAACTTCATTTTTCTTGTTCAAAGGTGAGAGGCTGCATCTCTGGTGAATAAGACATAGAAGGACAAAGCCAGATTCTTGATACAAATGTTCATTTTTCTACTTCTTAACAAAAAAGCCACTTCAATTTCTCAGCATCCTCAACTTAGACATAATTATACTGTTTACTACAAAGACATATTGTGCTAATTGAATATGCAAAAAGAGTTTTAAATAACTCAAACCTGCCAATTATTTTCCATGTGTGAAATATTTGCAAAGATTAGATAAAGCCACAGAGTAACTACAACAGTGAATCACCAGTACACCTAAGCTTCAACTGACCAGCAATTTCTGCATAGGGCCTCTGGTAGTGGGCCAGTATTTATCCCTAGTATATGGATGCACTTTGGGAGCCCATTCTACATAGAGGGATACTCTATAAGCCAAGACACATGGGGGAGGGTCTAGGCCCTGCTCCAAATGATATGACAGACTTTGAAGATTCCCCATGTAAGGCCTCACCCTCCCTGGGGAGCAGAAAGAGGATGGGATAGGGGTTGGCAGGAGGACAGGGGAGGAGGAGAGGGTGAGGGAACTGGGGTTGACATGTACAACAAGCTTGTTTCTAATGTAAATAAAAAGTAACAGTGTGAAGAAGTCAAGTGGAGTCAAGAACAGCTGAATTTCAGAAGAAAGAATTTGGTGAAATATACTGAACTTTGTGTTAACCATTTCAATTATTTCAGACTCTTAGCCCCAGACTTATCATAGGGAGGGACAAAAATGTAAGGAAGGTTAACATTGTTTTGGAGGATGGGTGTGTTTATTCCAATAATAAATTCACAACAACAGCAGGATTTTAAATATTAATGTGTTTTCAAACATATAGTCTCCTGGGGCCTTGTTGCTAACGCAAGGTAATATCTACCAACCCAATGACAATTTGAGTATTCACACTTCTAAGCCTATCACAACCTTGGCCTCACTGGCACCTTTAAATACTCATTTGTTTCTCAGGCAAATTGAGCTATTCCACTCCAGTGCTTATGGTAAAAAGAATAGAAACTTGTGGAATCACCTTCCTCTCTCACAAATGAAGCAACAGCAGAGCAGTACAGTACATCAGCTGTTTCAAGTTCCTCAAATGAGTTTTACTTTTGCAAAACAAGTCTTCTGACTTCCCACATTCAATGAGCTGCATTACGAGCAACATGACCAGCAACCACATTTGTTGTAATTTTTTAAATATGTGGAAAAAAAGCAAGATATCAACCATGTATTACCTTAATCAAGATGCCAAATTATCTAACTTGTTTCTCCAGGCAAGCAGCCCAACAACAGGGACAGCTCCCAGGAGCCAGTCAAGATTGTCTGTCTGTCCATCTACTCAGGACATCTGCAGGTAAGTCCTGGGTGAATGATCCCAGTAAATATTTCTTAGACCAGTATTTTGTAGTTTTGTTTCATTACCTGAGAATTGGTGGCTCTTGCTTCTGCTTTATGTTGTCTGTGGATCTCATGTCCCAACCCCCACTTAGCTGTTCTTCAGCTTGTCTTTATTTACCAACCTATGGCCATGCTGTCATTTTCATCATTCTCTTTCTCTCTTTGTTTTCCCATGACTTTCCTTTTCATTCCCATTCCCCACCCTTGGCCTGATGCCTTGTCTAGATCTTCCATCTTGCATGACATGTCAGAAGAATCATTTGAGCACTGCACCCCTGTCATGGTGCTGAACCATGCTAGCAAGGAACCTGGTAAGAAACAAGTAAAACAGAAGCCTAGGAGGAGGAGAAGGGTCTCTCAGAGATATGAGCATTCAGAAGAGCAAGCAAAGGCTAGAAGAAATGATTTTCACCTCCAGATCTCAAGTCCTGGCTGGAGAGAACTTAACACGGAGTCATCAGATTCATCCTCCACAGATGAGAGTCACTGGACTCAGGCAAAAAGACGAGCTCAGGTGAAATTCAGGCTGTCCCGAAGAAGGAGAAATAGTAACAAATCATGTGGTAGCTTGGCTGGGTCCTCCACTCCTGACAGACTTGAACTTGTTGAGCTGGGATGCAAAGGTGAAAAGCACCCAGAGATGATGGAATGTGGGAGTCACTCTTTAGACATCTGTAGAGGAAAAATCATAAGGTACCAAGAATGCAGTTCTCCCCTACCACAGGGGTCCTTGGAGGAGAAGAGACCCCCAGGGAGCCACTCAGGAAGTAAAGGCAGATACTGTCGCAGCGAATCTCACTTGCACACACTTAGGGAAAAAGAAACAATCACTAAAAGATTGTCGGAAGCTGATTCCAATACTGAAATCTTGGCAGCTACAGAAGGGAGCAAGTGTGTAGAAGATGCAGGGCTCCAGGTGAACACCTCTGCCCAGAAGCCTCCTGATGCCTATGATGATGGGTCTGATACTTTCGAAGTGTGCAGGTCAGTAGCTAAAAGGAGAGACTCGGTGCCACCCAAATATAGTTCTGGCTGGGAGCTTGGTGTGTGTTTGAACTTTCCTCAAAGTGTGAAATCCATTTGTAACATTACAGGTGGGATATAAGGTGGTAATTTGAAAATCAGAAGATTTTGAGCATAGGTACAAAAACACACATAGAATTAGCTTTCTTCTCTTCCTTTTAGTCAATGACTTATTCCAGAACAGAGCTGGGAAAAACAACTTGGGTTTGTACATAGTATGCTTAAAACCATGATAGTGGAAGCAATAGGAGTAATACTATGTGGAAAAGTTAAATTTGAATATGGCCAATTTTCTGCAGCCTGAAAAAAAGATATTCAAGCCAGAGGTTCTTAATGATCAGGGTTTTGCATCAGAACAATCTTCCCTGCTTCTGGCTGCAGCCGGTTCTTCAGTTGTCTGATTCAGTAGGGTAACTCAAGAGCCAAAGACAGGGACACAGGTCCTGGGCTTGTCGTCTGAGTGCTGGGGCCTCTAAGGAAAGAGAACCACATTCACTTTACTGATGATCATGCACTAGTGATGTTTAACCCTGGGGACATTTCCTAGCACTAAGACTATTTTGTCTTGTTTTTTGTTTGTTTGTTTTTTGGGGTATTTGTGGGCGTTTTTAACCTCAAAGCATGTATTTTTAACTTAAAGTTGAAAAGAGTTAATGTATGTTCTATTATTGCAGACCTGAAATAAATTTAATTTTTTTCATATTATACTAAATCATTTAAATTGAGTCTGAGACCAAGTAAAGATTCGCATCACACACTAATTATTAGGTCTTATTTTTATGAAAGCTGAAGCTATTGTATAAAACCAGCTGTGTGCATGCATGGTAAACACATACACTAGATAATGTAGTCCATATCTACTTGGGCCAGAGCAAGATGAATCAAAGTCTGCATGTGAATAGCAGGATAATTTGGTCTCCAAAAGTTGTATCAGACAATTACTCATAAAATGCTCATTTGTTCCATTGCTGAAATGTATTATGCTCTGGCCTTTATTCTGAGCACTGAATATTTATAGTGCATGGTACCTGCACAGTTTCTGTTATGGAGGAACTTGAGTGCTATGGTATAGTTGGGTGAAGAACACAAACACAAAAATGATTTCACAGTTGTACATATTTAAAATCACAATGGTGGATTTAGAAATATATAACACAGGGGCTCAAGTTTCTCTAGATATCAGAGAGCAATTCAAAGGATAAGGGGATCTGAAGTAGGAAAGAAGCAGGATGCCCATCCTGCATAGTATGTGGCCACAGGAAGCCAAGAGGAGTGAGAGACATGACAGGAGTGTGGCAGCCCAGGAAACCAAGAGCCTGCTGCAGAGGCCAGGATGTGATGAGTGAGGAGAGTGGATGGTAGAGATTCGGATGAAGAAGTGGGATGACCCACACTTTCCAAGGCCTTAAAATTTTACAGGTTTAGAAATAAAGACAGAGAGAGAAAGAAAGAAAGAGAGAGAGAGACTTGGGAAATGGTTTAGTGAGCATAGTGCCTGTGGTAATTGCAAGATCTGAATTCCAATCCACAGCATACATATATTCAAAAAGCTAGGGGCAGCAGCATGTACCTAGAATCAACATTAGGGAGGCAGAGACAGGGGATTCTAAGAACTTCCTGGTTAGCTATTATAGGCAAGTCAGTAAGCTCCTGGTACAAATAGAGATGCTGACTCAAAACACAAGGTGAGGGGCTAGGAGAATGGCTCAGTGTAGAAGGGTGCTTACCACTAAATCTGAAGACCTGAGTTCAATAACCAAGACCCATGTTACAGAAGGACAGAACTAATTCTCCTAAGTTTTCTTACCCCCACAAATATGCACAATGGAAAGCATGTGTCTATTATACATACACCCAGACACACACACACACACACACACACACACACACCATGCAAATAAAGTGGCATCATGTGATTTATATAGGAATGTATGTTTCTTATGATTTTTTAAAATATGATTATGTGTCTTTTCTGAAATCTTGTATTATTTCTCATCTAAACTAAGAATGTCCAGCCTAAACCCTTCTGTTGTTGCTTCCCAAATCTACTTCTAATATTACTTAATAAATGGCACTCATAGAAGTTAATTTTCTGGTGTCTGGAGGAGAAAAGGTAACATTTACAGCTAGAATCAGAGTGACAGGTTGTCTTAGATCTCACAAGCACTGCTGTGTTTGTGTGTTGTGGGGGAGGCACTTCCAAGGGTAAGAGATTTATTTGACTTAGACTTCCACAAGTGAGAGTAAGACCAAAGGACATACAGGTATTATCTGCTTCTCTGTAATGCCACCAAATAACCAATTTAAGCAACTGCAATCAGCAGCATATCATACTGGAGGAGAAGGACCAAAAGTGTCAAGAGACAACATTTCCCTTAGCTTGTCTATTGTCTAAGTGGGAGACATTGAATGTACAGTGGAAAAGACAAAGATTTAAGACAGGGAAAATTAAGTGTAGGAGAAATCCTGCAGGATTTTGAAGGAAAAAAATATTGTTCTGATCTGAAATGATACAGAAATCCCTTCAGATGAGGTGCAACTAGAGGTAGACAAAGTCAACTTTAGGTATACAAAGAAGCATAAATGGAATTTCAGGCTTTCAACTTGGAGCAATACCACTAGGTCAAACAATATTTTACACTGAAGTGTTTGTGAATTTGTGTGGGTAGGTTGGAAAAAATAATACACACTAATAAAAATTTCCAAAATTTTTTGAGAACATACAGACTCATTCCAAGTTATTTAGCTCCATTATACTAATCTCTCCTTCCCAACAGCCTCCATGAACTTCTTGAGTTTTTTACCTTACAAGTTGAGATTGGTCAGCAGTGTGCTTCCTTTGACCCATCATCATCCAGAGAATACTCATCTTATATCCCATAAGAATGTTCATGATATTCCTTTAAAGAATAAAAACATTTCGGTGCAATACCAAACGCAGAAAAGATTTTTCTTAATAAAGTAGACTAGAGGAACCACATAGAAGTCATCATGTCCTTGGTGATGTACTGTCAATGGGACCTAGTGTATGGGCAGAAGAACCTTACTATGAATTAAGTATGATACAATGATAATATTAGTAGATGACAATGAATGACATGCAGGTAGTTCATTAAGCAAATAGGAAGCATTTTATTTGTTGTATTTTAGTGATAAATAAGACAAAGGTCTGTTGGAGATCATGGCAACTTTGGGAACCTGAGAAACAAAAGACAGTGATATTGACAAATGCAAGAGACATCAGAAACCAATTGACTTGAGAAAGGTGTGATGAGCTCAATTATAAGCAGACCATTTCAGATTCCAATGACATTCCAGTGTAATTTGTCTACCAGTTAATCATAGGCATGTTAGTGATCAGCCCTGGACACATGCACATAAAATCATCACTAAATGACTCAATAAGTGTGTGTGCATATGTGTCTGTATATGTAACAATAATAATTAAAGTAGAGGTCACAAATTTTGGAAACTGTGAACCAGAGAAGATGGGAGGATAGGTAGGAATAATCTATATGTAGTTCTCATGTATAAAACTCTCAAAACATAAACTAATAATATGCATGTTATTGAAACAGAGGACAGTTGCAACTGACTATAATTTTCCAGTGATTAGTGAAATATATCCTGGATTACCAAGCAACTATATATATGTAATTCACACAGGATAATATAATATGATTTATTAATAAAAGAAATAATTATTAACCATGGAAAATCTTCTCAAGATTAGGAAAGGTAGAAAGGTTTGTGAATCATTCTAAAAGGAGTTGCAGTGATGCCTAAAAGAGAAAATAAATTCTGTCCTGTGTAGGAAAGATACTTCCAGATGGGCCATAGACACCAGGTTCCCCTTGATATGAAGGAAGATGATGGCGAGAGGAGCAGCAGATGCCTGTGAACCTGCAGTTCTGTTGCTGCAGACATGCAAAAGCAGGGCCAGAGTTAGTCACAACCACGAAGAAGAAGCAACCCCAGAGTCCTTCCTCCTTTTCTGTTCCTGGCATTTGGTCCCCATGTGGATACCATATCCTCTTTCACATACTTGGTCACAGCCTCACTCTGGAAAAATACTGCTATTGACCAATTATAAATAATCAGAAGTCCAATTGGCATATTATTATGCCCATCATCTGTGATGCTAGAAAGTCTCTTTATAAAAAATTACATCAAAAAAGTAGAAAAAGATCAGAACATGTAAGCCTCTTGTTAAAGTTTTGGTGGGCTGTACTTTACCCTCAGTGGAACGTGTACAACCTTTAAAATGACTTGTGAGTGCTCACATGGCCTCTTTGTGAAGTCTGCCTCTCCAGCTTTGATACACACCATCAGCTGTGACACATCTGTGCTAATTTCTTCCTAATTCCATAAAAGAATCTGGGCCCTTTCTTTACATGGCCTAGATTACCACCTTCCTCCTCTGACCCTCAGCAGACTGATTGCAAATGTCATTTCTCCCAGGACATTCTACTGGCCTCCTAACTTAAGAACCCCCAAGGCCAGTTCCATAGCATATTCTTTAATCATTTTATTCATTTTTAAAGACAAATTTGCCCTGCTGGTTTGTTCCCCTCCGTGCATGTTAATCTTTCCCATTCTCCTCCATCATTTACCACTTTTGTTGTTCTCCTTCTTCATCCCAAATAATCCTTCTGCCTTACTCATACATACACACCCATAGTTATTGCAAAATTTAGATTCCACATGTGAGAGAAAACACACAACACATTTTTCACTGCTAAAAATGCATCTTTTTTTTTTTTTTTTTTTTTTGCTTAACTGTCATCATTTTTCTCCCTGACATTTCAAACGGATCGTTAACAACACCTTGCAGATAGCACAAACTGCTCAACAGTTTTTATATACATTTAAAGAAAATGGAATTTTAAGAAATTGAAGTCATAGGATCCAATTCTGGGTGACCTAGCCCACTATAAAATCTCCCTAAAAGGGATTATTGA